TCGTATGTTATAATTTCTTCTCAGTGATGATTATGTGAGAGTAGACAATTAATATAGAAATATTTTTGATGTTTGGTCTGTATCGTGGATTCGTCGACGAATGATGTGTCTTCGATTTTTATTGTGTATCTATTTTCCGAAGGTCGCTCTCGACACTGGAATTTTGAAGCATTTATGCACTCTTTTGAAATTGTAGCTGTCGAATATGGTAGAAATAGATTTGTGAAGTACCGATACAGTATCATAGTGGATAATAACTAAATTTTGTCAGTAGAAATCCCATTATTGTAATATCCGCCAATGACTTGGTCAATCATTTGAATGTGAATTTACCAATAAAATTTAAGAATCAGGACAAGTTGTTTCTTTTTACTTTTATAAATATCCTGAATTGTTATAACTGGAGCAAAAATTGCAGTTTTGAAAAACAATGGTCTTTAAATTTACTGTTGACCTTACTGAGTACCAAAATGGCAAAAATCAAATAAGCAGAATTTTTTATAGCCTATCCACTTGCAAAGGTCAACGTTCTAAGAAAACAATCAAAGATTCCATCTAGCGGTCAACCTTTAAAACCTTACTGGCTCAATCAAAAGCAATGCTCTTAGGTACTTTCCTGTTATTTCGCTAGATGTCTCTAAAATGCAAATCATTTTATAAACTATACCAGCGTAATTTTACAGAATTTTGGTTTATTCAAGTACTAATCAACGAACATCGCATTAATTCACATTGTGAATTACAGAAAATAAAAGAAATTTTGCCTCCACAATAAGACCTGTGATCACATGTTTTACGTGGTACATTAAAAGGTTTGATTTTTTAGGAGCTTCTGCCTACCTATCTTTTTACTATTATTATAACTGTGAAATTTTCAAATTGCCGTTATATCATCACGTCAGTTTGTAAATAATTTAATTTGACGTAATCTGCAGATTTTTTTTGTTTCTGGTGCCAATTCAGAGCGGCGCACTGCAAATGCAGTATGACAGTGGTATATGTACATAACTACAAGATGGAACAGATATTTGGAGTTGGGTTGGATACGGGGTATTATTATACTGCTTATTATTTTTTTTAATAAATCGCCCGATTGGTGAGTTAGCCAACACGACGGCGTTTGCGCACATTTTACAGATCGTCGATGTATTTAATTTTAAGCTATCGCTGTCTGCATCTCTTCAAATTTGATCATTATTAATTTATCTCGTGGATTACATCCGTAATGGCCGCCGGCTCATTGAATGCGTCTTTTTGTGGCGCCTTTTTATTTGGTGATCGCGTCTAGAGCGGGCGGCGGGCGGGACCCCGTCGCGAAGGCATCCACGGAATGCCTAAAAGGTGACTCTTGGATAAATTACGGGCATTTCTTCCATTTTAACGATTCCCTTTATTATTTAATTTATTTTTATTTTATGTTACACATTTGCCTTGTAACAATGTTTGTTTTTCGGGCTTCATTAGCATAAAGCTCATGCTGGGGCGAAGAAAAAAAAATGGACGCGCAGCCATTTTGATTTTTCGATAGACCTAATCTCACGACGGCTGCAATACGTTAAAGGGTACACGTGTCTAATAAAAGAGATAGCGGGATGTCTCAATTCGATTGTAATTTGTTGGTTTTTATCGCATCCCGCTTGTGACACTATAAAACAATTAATTTATTGTGGGCACGTGAGATGATTTCGATCAGTTTATCGGCGGCGCGCGCGGCTGGACGTTAATAGTTTTATGTAAGAGGTAATTTTTATTAATTGCTCTTTGATGAAGTAGATGAGGCGTTCGTTTACGTTGATCACCAGCATCGGGGCTCGTTAATGCCCTCCATATAGCTTAAAGCTTACAGCTAACTATATACTTGTAATAAACAATAAACAACAATACCATATACGATTTTCAGAAGAAGATTAGTCCATTTTCCTTTCTTCAAGCCTTGGAAAGTTTTCAGTCACAGAAGTTATACGGTAAACTTTTTAGACAAATATAATTAAACTAAATAAAAAATATAAGCGCATTTAATCGAAAATATTATTATGATTGTTATCACATTCAAGGTATCTTAAAAAGTACATTTAAGTTAGTGTACGAATACAATAAAGATGTCGATAACGTATTTATGAGAATCGATAAGAGCTTTGCTTTTGCATGATTGTATAAAAACCGAAATCCTTTACAAGGTTCGGGTTGAAAAATAAAGTAAAAAGGTAACGGGTGATGTTTCTTGTGGCCGTTTAATCGTCATGATTAGGTACGAGATAGCATCTCAGGTTTGATTTATAATGAGCCGCCTGAGCCTGACGCCGGCGCGTCGGCCGCGTTGGCGCGCGCAAGCATTCGTCAAACGTGGCTTTTGTGGACATGACTTCTATTACAGCGCCTTAATCCTAAATAGGGAAGTACTCAATAAATTTTCTTACTTATACAATTAACAAGAGTTCCTAAAATTTTCTGATTTTCTATAATTCAAGTTAGACCCGAAAATATCCTAATCTTAAATCACAAAGTGAGCACATTATCTACTTAAATTAGTCTTCCGACAAGCCGACCTATGTCGGAACGTAAACGGACTAGATCTTTTCAACTAAATTACTTAAGACAGCCTAATCCTGTCTCGTAAGAGATAGTAAAGCTTAAATTGTACCGACTTAAGGGGGAAGAACCCTATACACAGATACACGATTGCTTCTAAAGTATTTTGCACTTCTACGTTTATCAAACTAAGTGCTGTTTATCCCTTCACCTTCCTATTCTACATAAAGACTGGAACATTAGTGGAATAATTACTTTCTTCTACAAAATCTGTTCTCTTATTATTCTACAAAAATAAAGGACTATATGGTCAAAGTTAAACAATCGCTCAAGCAATATGGCATGTTATGTCTCGATAAAAGATTAAAATATTTCAAAACAAAAGTTAGTGTCTGCTTCAAGTTTTTAATTCCAAAATTACACGAATCACAACTTTCGTTTATTTAATTTTAACGTACACATGTTTCGTGACCTTATTGAATACTCAAATAGTTTTATAAATTATATTTTGATATACCTGTGAGCTTGAAAAGCGATTAAATGTAAAAAGCGTCTGATGAAAACCAATTGATGA